TGCTAATTAGGGGAGACAGCTCCTCGCTTCTAACTGATGGCCCAGATTAGGGGAGAGCAGGCTCTGAGCTGGTTATGCGTGGAGTTAACGGATAATAATTCTGCGGTTGCTAGATTATTTGCCACTTTCAGAAGCAACTTTGAAATAATTCAGTGGTATCTTCCCAAAGCACTTTACAAAGGAGGGCCAGGATCATTATCTGCCTTATATAGCTGGGGAAACTGAGGCACGGAGCGAGGCAGTGACTTGACAAGTAAGTCAGTGGCAGAGCTAGATGGATAGTTCAGATCTCTAGAGTCCCAGCTTGGTGCTCTTCCCATCGGACCATGCTGCCTTCCTAGGGCACGTATAGTTACAAAACGTAAACACACAAATGGAAGAATCCAGGCAAGTTCAAAGCCACCAGATGGTCACCAGTGATACCAGATTTGTGTCTTCCTGGGATCTCTTGCTTACCTCTGTATTACACACCACAACCACTTACGCCTTCTCAGTGACCTTGGGGATAGAACTTGGGACTTTCTGCTCCAACTAAAGGAGAGTCTACCTCCCGCCAGTAGAGGGCGCTAATGACCCATACACACTGCCTTGTTCATTACAATTAGCAAAGGTAAAGCTATAAGAAGTCTCCCATATTTTTTACTTGAACATTTGTAACTGTGCCTATGTAGACGTATGGAAGAAAACTCTATGGTCAACTTTGCTTGGGTAAATATTAGTGGTTTTGAGGGGTTACTCCCAAAATTACCTTTAAAATATGCTAATGTACAATTTGTATGTAACTGTGGGTCTAAGTGCATTTCTAGAGCTGGCTAGAAAATCCTTTTATATTTGCCATGAAAAAATTTCAAATTGTTTGCTGTTTTCCCCCAATTAAACAAAACCAAAAAAGTTTACTTTTTATTGGGACTGTCAAGCGATTAAAAAAATTAATCGTGATTAATTGTGCTGCTAAACAAAATAATAGAATATCATTTATTTAAATATGTTTGGATGTTTTCTACATTTTCAAATATATTGATTTCAATTACAACACAGAATACAAAGTGTACGGTGCTTACTTCACATTTATTTTTGATTACAAGTATTTTCACTGTAAAAAACAAAAGAAATAATATTTTTCAATTCACATCATACAAGTACTGTAGCGCAATCTCTTTATCATGCAAGTTGAACTTACAAATGTAGAATTATGTACAAAAACCCCCAGCATTCAAAAATAAAACAATGTAAAACTTTAGAGCCTACAAGTCCAATCAGTCCTACTTCTTGTTCAGCCAATCGCTCAGATAAACAAGTTTGTTCATATTTTCAGAAGATAATGCTGCCTGCTTCCTGTTTACAATGTCGCCTGAAAGTGAGAACAGGCAGTCGCATGGCACTGTTATAGCCGGCGTCACAAGATATTTACATGCCAGATGCACTAAAAATTCACGTGTCCCTTGATGCTTCAATGACCATTCCAGAGGACATGCATCCATGCTGATAACTGGTTCTGCTTGATAACCATCCAAAGCAGTGTGGACTGACGCGTGTTCATTTTAATCATCTGAGTCAGAGGCCACCAGCAGATGGTTGATTTTCTTTTTTGGGGGTTCGGGTTCTGTAGTTTCTGCATCAGAGTGTTGTTCTTTTGAGACTTCTGAAAGCACGCTCCACACCTCGTCCCTCTCAGATTTTGGAAGACACTTCAGATTCTTAAACCTGGGGTCAAGTGCTGTAGCTATTTTTTGAAATCTCACATTAGTACTTTCTTTGCGTTTTGTCAAATTTGCAGTGAAAGTGTTCTTAAAACGAACATGTGCTGGGTCATCATCCAAGACTGCTGTAACATGAAATATACGAGAGAATGCGGGTAAAACAGGGCAGGAGACATACATTTCACCCCCCAAGGAGTTCAGTCACAAATTTAATTAATGCATAATTTTTTCAATGACCGTCATTAGCATGGACGCATGTCCTCTGGAACGATGGACGAAGCATGTAGAAGCATATGAATCGTTAGTGCATCTGGCACGTAAATACCTTGCGATGCCAGATACAACAGTGCCATGCAACCGCCTGTTCTCACTTTCTGATGACATTGTAAATAAGAAGCAGTCAGCATTATCTCCTATAAATGTAAACAAACTTGTTTCTTTTAGCAATTGGCTGAACAAGAAGTAGGACTGAGTGGACCTATAGGCGCTGAAGTTTTACATTGTTTTGTTTTTGAGTGCAGTTATGTAACCAAAAAAATGACATTTGTAAGTTGCACTTTCATGATAAAGAGATTGC